TGCAGTACCTGGGACAAACTGTTGGGATTAGGTGATGCTTCATCAAAGTTAAGGGGACACATTGAACACAGTAGATACTGTGTATCCCCCAAAATAAGACTGGGTCTTATATTAATTTTTGCTTCAAAAGAAACAATAGAACTTATTTTCAGGAGATGTCTTACTTTTTCATGTACAACAATCTACACTACTTAAATACAGTCATTTCATCTTCCAGAACATCTTCATAACTCTCCAAATCCCAATTCCAGCCTGAATTTCTTGGGGCTCCATTTCCTGTAGAGCCATTGGCCCTGATCTCCCATGTGCGGTAACAGAGCTCTCCCTAAACGCACGCTTCTCGTCCATGTCACCTACTCATAGAGCATTGGCAACACAGCTGTCAGGAGTTTCATCCGGAGAGTCTTCACCCAAGTCATGACCTTGCAGGCTGGCTTCAGAGTTGCCATTAAATCACATGTTGATGGAAGACATATGAGGCAGAAGTGGCAAAAAAATGATGACAATTAAGAGTGATGACAAAAGCAACAAAAAATTACAGGCACCAAAATTCAGAAAACATGTATTTCACATGAATACATCAAGTACATCTGTTAAAACACTCAGCGTGCTGAGTTATGATGATTCACATTAGACAGGACCAAGCCCTCCCTTCTTGGGTTGTGTCTGTGCCCCAGTTGGCCATTGGCATCCGCCCTGGGTTCATTTGTTCACAGACATTCACCTCTCGTCCAAAGGCACTGACTTGAGTACAGACAGACACTTAATTATATCTATATTAAGTATTAATGTCAATATATTTAATTATGTATAATATCATTATTTTATAATTCAGTATGTCCATCGTGAACTGCAGTAGACATACTGAATGTGTCCGTCTGGCTAACATCTTAACTGGGCCTTATTTGGGGTAGGGCTTATGTTACAAGCACCCTAAAAAATGATGCTAGGGTTTATTTGCTGGTTAGATCTTATATTTGGGGGAAATATGGTATGTAGTAACTCCAAAGAATTATTAACATTGAATTTTTATAGGAATGATCATTCATCATAAAGATAAGTTAAATGTTTATTCTTTTAATATTCTAATGAAAGTTTAGTGTTCCAGCAAATTGTTTTAAATTAGCTGAAAGTTTTATATTAGTAATAGTTTTTACACT